TGAGGCCACCCTTGGAGGCTCCCCAGCACCTCCCCGTGGGTGTCTCCACCCTCCCCCTCGTCAGGCTGCAGAGCAGGCGAAGAGCTGGTGAAAATATCAGAGCTGTACCCCGAGGACATCAATGCCATGCAGATATCCTTTGACACCCCACGTTGTGAGCTGGGCCGAGGGGCTCGGGGTGGTTTGGGTTTGGTGGTTTGCTCTGGGTGGCTGCAGAGGGGTCTGGGGGGGGACGATGGCAGAGCCACGATTTAAACTCTGCTACCACCAACACAACTCAGCAGAGCTGGGGCAAACCTGGACACCACTGGCTGGGGGTGTGAGCCCCACGTGTGTCCCCTGGGGGCAGTTCTCCCACATGCTGTGGTGTCCCCCCTGCCAATTTTTTTTTCCTTTATGGGCCTGGCACAGATTCCAGGTGGAGGAGACGGTGCTGGACAAGCTGAAGATCACCTTTGAGAACAGCACTGACTTCTTTGGGAGGATCGTGGTCTACCACCTAGGGGTGCTGGGGGAGAGGCTCTAGGGTGGCAGTGAAGGACACTGTGGGGGGGACCAGTCCCCCACCACCTGCCTTTGGGAACAGCAAACCCTGCCAGAGGGGACGTGCTGCCCCACCCTGCACCCCAAAGTGCTGAGAGGGGACCCCTGCCCCACGGGATGGTGGTGACAGAGGGACACTGGCTGCATCTGCTGGAGTTTTGGTGGGACACAACCTGTGTAATCAGCCAAATAAATGCTGTCCCTGCTCCTCCTTGGGCAAGTGGACCCAGGGCTGAGCCTGTGAGGGCTTGCCGTGGCCATGCCCTGTGTGGCTGGAGCAGGAGGGCAGGGAAGTGTCCCCTGACTGTGCTGTGGGCTCTGGCTGGTTCTCACCTTCATGAACCCCCCACCCCAAACTTCTGGAGTGGCTCTTTGTGGCTTCCCAAGGCTCTGGCTCAGGATGGGAGCTGCTGGCCACTGTGTCCTGGCAGGGTGACACTCCTGCAGGGTTTTGTTCTGCCTATGGGTGTTTCCCTGGCTGTGTGCAGGGAGGGCTTGGCACAAGGATGGGGGTAAGAGGGAGTGTCCCTCTCCAAACTGCCCTGGGGAGGAAGCCCAGGGGCTGGGAGGGTGCAGCCCTTGAAGAGGTTGGTTGGCCCAGTTCCCCTCGTGGTTTCCCAGTCGCTGGTGCTGGGACTGGGGCCTGGCAGCTGTGACAGGCTGAGGGTGCGGATGAGGCTCCTCACGGCTGCTTTGGAGTTTACTCCCAACAAGGCAATCCCTGAACAGACAGACACGAAGCAGCCGAGCTCGGGTGGGGCCAACACGCAGCTGCCCTGCAGGGTGAGTGTCCCTGGGGGCCTCGTGGCCAGGCCACCCTCCAGGAGAGGCACAGATCCACCGAGGGCAGGGGCTTCCCTGCTCCTTCCAGGCACTCCTCACTGGTGGCATCCTGCTGCTGCCCCTCGGGGGTCCCACAGGAGAGCCCTGGGTGGGTGGGAGGAGTGTGGGGGCTGCAGAGCGGGGCGAGCTGCTGGTGTCACTCTGGCTCCTTCTTCTGGAACAGCTTCAGGATGTGAGCTTCAATAACCTGTTGGACTGAGGGAGGGGAGAGAAGTGAGACCCAGGGAAGCCAAGCTTGTGAGGAGGCAGCACTGCTGTGGATAGGACCTGGTCACCATTTAACTTGTTTTCCAGGGGGAGGGCTGGAAAAGCCCTTTCTCCAGGGGCCTGTCCCCACCGCTCCTGTCCCAGCCCCATCTCCAGCTCAGTTCAGGTTTGGAGGAGGAGTGAGGGGAACAGGACCCATCTTTATTTATGAGGAGCAGCTGAGGGAGCTGGGGGTGCTGAGCCTGGAGCAGAGGAGGCTCAGGGGAGACCTTCTGGCTCTGCACAGCTCCTGACAGGAGCCTGGAGCCAGGGGGGGGTCGGGCTCTGCTCCCAAGGGACAAGGGACAAGGGACAGGACAAGAGGAAACGGCCTCAAGTTGCCCCAGGGGAGGTTGAGGTTGTCCCTGAGGAACAATTTCTTGCCCTGGAGGGTTGTCCAGGGCTGTGCCAGGCTGCCCAGGGCAGTGGTGGAGTCCCCACCCCTGGAGGGGTTCCCAAGCCGTGGAGATGTGGGGTGAGGGACACGGGGCAGTGGGGACCTGGCAGTGCTGGGGGATGGTTGGACTGGATGAGCTTAAAGGTCTCTTCCACCAAAATAACTGTAGGATTCTATGATTTCTCTGCATTGCAGAGTGGGGAGCTGTGGTGGAAGGTCAGAAAAAGCCCCCAGCAAGGCTGGAGGCTGGGAGTTGCCTGGGATGGAGGGAAGGCAGAGCTCCCTGCCAGGCACGGAGGGGACACTTGCCTTTCTTGTGTCCCAGGGCCACGGCCAGATCCATCGGGGTGTAGCCAGAATCTGCCTCTGTCGTCAGGTCAGCACCACGAGCTGCAAGCAGGCAGTGGAGGTCAGGGCTGGGGGGGCTGGGGCTCAGTGGAGGTCAGGGCTCAGTGGAGGTCAGGGCTGGGGC